CAACAAAATGTCCGATTTGCGACGCAGCCTAAGCCGCCTATCGATGATCGTCTATCGGGCCACACATTCCAGTGAGCAGTCCTGGCGCGAAGAGCTGCTCAGGTATGCTATCGATGTGAAGAAGCAAATCTTCATACAAAGCTCTCTTTTATAATAGAGTTTATTAACAAATTTTTGTTGTGGGTAAAATTTTTAAGTGTCATTGTTCTAATTACTATTGTCTGACTAATTACAAACTGATTAATGCACAGCATGAATCAAATCGATATAAGTAGATACATAGCATAATTTCCGTTACATAGGACCGATCGATACAAAAATCACTCTTGATAAGTTTTTCGTTTATTAAGCTATTCTAGAAAATATATACCTCTCATAGGTACGATACGATACTGACGCACCATAATCATGCATCAATATAGCTGCCATATGAACGATCATTGGAAAAGTCATTCTTGGCAGCATAAATTTTATTGTTTATAAAGACAGCTTTTAAAAATCTGGGAATTACATTATAGGTTTTCACAGTACCTCATGATATTCTAAAGTATCATAGAGCATTGTAACAATTTTTTTAAATTATTATATTAAATAAAAGAACAAATTTCAATACTAAGGATGAAAATACTTTCAAAACGAAGCTATTAAATCGATTAGATAACATAATACTCACATCATGAGAAACAATAGCTTTCAGTAATTAGAGCTGTTCGAGAAACCTACACTGTATTTAAACAACTGTTCTGTTTTTTTTTTTATTTTTTGTGTAAACATTTGTTTATAAACATTCGAATCGAATGCCACGCAAATATTTGCATGCAACGCGTTTTTCGCGCTGTTTCTGCGCGACTTTGCAGGTGAACTGGAAATTTATACTTTTTACGATTTCCAACTGAAACGCCATACCTATAAATACACCACACAATGCTTTTTTAATGCAAACATTGGTATTTATAAACTTACACGTACATCAGACCTACTCGTACTAGTACTAATGGTAAACATAGATAGTATAAGGATGTTTTTGCATGCGTTTTTGGCGCAACTCTGGGCGTTTTGTTTATGTGGCACCTGCTAAAAGGCATTATTAGCTTCAAGCTAATCGATTTTTCTTTGTAAAATGACACATTTTTGGCTAAAACGTGTACACCATGTACGAGTACATACATATGTGTACATACATACATATGTACGTACATATATGGCTTTTGGCATTTGGCGCTTCATTTACCGCTTGGCACTATATTTATGAAGCGCTTGAAAAGAAATGTTTTAAATATTTTGGCTACAAAATTTGGATACCGTTCAAACTGCCTCCTAAATATGCAAGACATTTTTCAAAATCTCTGCGATATCAGCACTATAGAATCTATTAAAAATTTAATTTGAAAATGAGGAAAAAAGTCTTTCTTATCGTCTTCTGACATAACATAACATATAACATAACATAAGTTTAACTTAATATAAGTTTAACATGACATAAGTTTAACATGACATTTAACATATTTTCAAACATTACCAAAACTGCCAATGTAAGTCCTTTTTAGGGTTCTCAATTCAATTGTAGTTGTTAGTTAATAAATAACTAAACAGTGTATTATGCGGAATTTAGATAAAAATACCAACTTTTATTTAGCTAACAATATGTTCAGTGTATCCCACGTACCCCCAATTCGGTTTATTTTTATTGAGCGGCAATATTCTCTTTTATTCACCATCACCGCAAGTGTTTATAAAAATTAGCATTGGCTAGCTAACGTCACTGATTTAATGTGTCTGCGCTGCGCCATAATTCTGTTTGAGGTTTTTTTTTTTAATTTGTTGCGGTTTTCCGAATTGTGAAGTATTGCTATAGGTACTGAAGATTGCAATGCATTTGAAATGATGGCAAACTGATTGGTTGCCCTTACCTTGAAGCGCATTTAAAGTTTGTGTAAGGTCAGTTTTTTGTTTTTGTTTTTGTTTTCATTGTTTATCTCGAACATCCCGAAAACGCAAGTTTTAATTGCATGCTATTAACTAAACCGACTTATCTGGCACTGTGTTAAATGACGAGCACTTATGTATGTATAGTATAAGTATATATGTGTGTTTAGCGATAAGTATAATTATATGTTGGCAAAGCTGATTTTAAAGCTCAGCCATTTATGTAGATTAGCAGGTAGATGAATCATTAAGCCTGTTTGGCAGGCGCCTTCATTTTATCAGACATACTCGTATGATACTGTATGATAAATGCGCGTAACCCGTCAACTAGTTAGTCATGAGAGTTAAGTTTAAGACAATGGAAAAAATGTCGACCGGTTTATTTGCATACTTATTAATATACGATGTGGAAACTAATGAACTCTCGTGTTAATTTTCGGCGAATTATAGCCGTGTTGTTGCTATTGTTCATTTAACTTTCCTATCACGTGCATAAAAAATGGCACAACAACAAAAAGCATTCAGATTTGCACTCACATCTCTTCATACATTTCGCTCTGCCGCAGAATGCTCAATTCTCTGATATTTGCGTGGTGTGCGCTCAAACGCCACTCACACTTCTCCTTAAGCTCTAGCTGAGCTGCAGCCTGCACTCAAGTAACTGTAACTCAGAATCACTCACACTTGCCTGAGCCGAAGGCACAAAAACAGCACACAATGCATTTTAAAACAAAAGCAAAAGCTGCCGAGTGCGGGGACTCTTTTGCATATGCAGCAGAAATGACACTCGTCTGCGGCATTCCGTCGGGCACACTGATAATGCGTGCAAATGCATGGCAAAAATGAAATCTGAAGCAAAACTACATGCTCGTGCAACAAAAACAACGATTATTGTCACTAGTTGTTGTTGTCGTTGTTTTTCAAAGTGTGCGCGCTCTTAACAGTTTTCGATTGCGATGGCAGTGCAGCAGAGCTTGTTGTTTTTAATTTGCTTTAGTGCCGATTTAATATCTGACTGAGACTCGTGCCAACTAGAGAGTTTTGAGCTGAGTGTGAAAGTTTAAGTGTTGTGAAATGTCCAAGGATCTGCAGGACGATCATCTAAAATACTAGTGTGCTAGCAAATACGCAATTTGAATGCAATTTGTTTTGCCTTGCACTTCCACGTGTTTCATTTAATGCGACTGTGTTATTGTTTGTTATTCGTTGCTGACTTGTGCTGCCTGCCTGCCTTCCCCCCTACCCGCTACCTCATTAGCTTTTGTTTTAAATGCTTCTCATTGTCTGTTTTGTGTGCTTTTTGCTGTTCGCGACTATTTGTCTACAGGCTTTAATTTGGTAAATTTCACGACATTTTTATGCACATTTTTGAAACAAATTCGTAGATACATATGCACATATGTATGTATGTATATTGTCAGCACTTTTGGCAGCTCGCCAATCAACTTTTAATTATTCATAATTAAATCGAATTTTTTTTTGAGTAATTATTATACATACATATGTACATATGTATGTATATATGCATAATTGTATTGTATTATTTTCTTTTGCTGATAACAGCATGAATATTTTTTAATGCAATGGGAATGTAAAGTACTTTATATATACATATATCGATATTATTTACTGTTCCTATTGTTGTATTAGTTATCAATCACACCTATGTATAGTATGTACGAGTGGGCGTTGAGATTCCCTTGGAAATTACATACGATATGGATTGCCCCCAACTGTGCTTTGTGCCTTTATGTCCCAAAGCACTTAAATATAAAGAGCTACAAAGAAATGACATTTCAAATAATGTATCCCTATGTCCACATACATATAGACAAGATATTCAGTACCCGTTTATGAATTTTGTTAGAGGTCTCAGGGAACTTTTTGAATAAACATGAGGAAGAAATTCAATTGCATTTATGTTTACATCAATTCTGTAGATTACAAAACTATTAATCATTCACATTATTTAGATTCAAGTATGCTAATTCAATATTAAAGAAGGTCATAACAAAGCCATCAAACTAAAACGCATTGAATTCTTAGCACCACCACGTCTGTTTTTTGTGACAAAACGGTGGCAGGAAAATTCTTCCCTTTAAACTAATATGTGACTAGCTTGGAAGTATGCTTTAAGTAGTTAGCTTATCCTTTCTCGGATTCTGAAAAATCCGGATATTAAGTTTGGGGTTTTTAGTTTTTATACTTTCTGGAATCCTTGCGTTCATACAGAGAGAGAGACGGACACAATGACATACATATATGTATACCTTTACTTTGTGGGGTCTGCCACGCACTTTTGATCCTCTCTCTGTTACATACAGTCGCACTAAACCAGTATAGCCTTTGGGTACAGGACATAAGAATGAGTTTACTCGACGGCTCGTTGTGCTGTTAAATATTTTGTATCCGAATGCTGGGTATCTTTGGAATAACCTCAGATTTTTATTTCCGACCAGTATATCCTCCACATCCGATAATATTGAAGGACTTCTAATGATCGTGCGACATGCGAATTCCATTCTGCGATCCTTACAGTAGATAACCCTAATGGGAGATTTGAGTTTGAAAAGGCAGCAATCGGCATACTTTCCAACTTAAAACGGAATATATTCAAGTTTTTTGAAACGAAGAATTCAGCAGAAACTTATCAAAGCTGATAATAAAATGGTAGAGTTTATTCGAATTTATTCATTTCCACAGCCGTGCATGTTCTCAAATACAATTCTATATACGAGTATGTATAAGCATATAATTATACGCCTGTGTATATATGTATAAGGCCTTTCTTATCACTTGTGTTGACTGGCAACTGTTCGATGTACAAGTACATGGTATATAATGTTATGCGGAAGGCACATAAGCTTAAGAAGCTGAAGTGTGCGACAACGGATTATATTTACATAATTGGTTGGAGAAATACTTGATTGGCATTATAATGAAACCAAAGCACCAACCTTTCATGTATAGTATATGGTACATATATAGTATGTATAGTATATAGTATATCAAATGAAGCATCTAATATCTAATACTGACGCATTCCCTATCCCCGTTCTCGTCTCTCCCGACAGGTATCGGCAGACACGTTTCAGCTCGCGGCGTGTTCGAAAACGTGTGGTCTTCAAGCATGGCGAGTGCAATGTCGTCCAGGGGAACGTAGCCAAGAGAAGACGTCGCTATCTGCAGGTAAGTGCGTGGATCTGTCATCCTATATTTAGAAGAAAATCACAGCTACGCACACACACACACACATCCATTAGCGTAACGTGCGGCCATGTAGGCTGCCGCATGCACAGACCAGTCGAATAACTGTTTAAATATAGCAAAGAAAATAAAAGGAATTATGCAAACAGCAGCAGGAAACTTAGAAACATAGAAGAGTGTGGGTTGCTAGCTAGCCTTGAGCCTCATATGCATATGCAACATGGTTGCATGCCACTAGTTACATGTACCCTCTCCCCCTTCACTCCGTTCAATTATTCCATTTAAATAGCAAAGTTTTCAATATACAAGTATTACGAGCGCCATTTTATGATTTCAAATAGAAACTTCGAGTAATTAGAATAGATAAGTTCTGAAGAAATTATGTTGGCCTAAAAATTATGCAGAGAAAGGAAACCTCTCAAATATGTAAGGATGCCAAGGCTAATTTATTTCATTTACAGGACAAGTTCCTCATTATTTTATATAGCTACCATAAGAGCGATCGGAATATCAATCTAACTTAGCTAACTACTTGTAGTTGTTTCTGTGAACATATATTTGGAAACTTTGAAACTCTGAATTTGTATCAAATAATCTCTAATCGGCACACTATATCATATAACAGCCATTGCAAAAGGTAAACAGCAACTTACAAACGAGCTGGAAAGTCCTGTCCGATAAATCTAGCGAGTCTGGCTGAAGTAATATGTAATAAAGTAATAAGAAATTAGGCTTAATAAATCAGTGAGATCTGAAATTGGTCTGTCTGTATGAACGCTAGGATCTCCAAAATTATAAAAGCTACAGTTACTAATGCAAGATTATATTGCTCCCACGCTAAAGATGTTCTTTACTGCACCAGTAATACTTTGCATTTTTCCAATGTTTCCAAATCTTACAACCGGTTTCTTTTAGAGCTCAGTTTGCACAACTCTAAAGAATTAATGTATACTCTATCAGCAGCCATTTCTTCACAAAACACTTGTTTAATCTCAATCGTTCCGATAGCAGTTTATTGCCGAACTAACTGATGCTTTGCCAAACTATTGAGTTTACCAATTAGTTCTATACTTTGTTAAACGCGAACCTTTCCATAACAGCTAGCTGACGCGTCTTAGAGTGATCCGATCTGGCTGTTTTGTGCAAACGATCTTTTTGCATTAAAGGACTACATATTATACAAGTAGTTTGCAATTTTTAAAATACCTTATTACGTTTAGATCTCTCTGATTATTCTTTTACTTCCAATTAAATTGTCTTTTTCTAGATCTAACATTATTTATTTGTGCCTTGCAGGACATTTTTACCACACTTGTCGATGCGCAGTGGCGCTGGACGCTGCTGGTGTTTGCTGCAAGTTTCGTCATATCGTGGGCCTTCTTCGGCTTCATCTGGTGGACTATAGCGTTCGCCCATAACGACCTGGAGTATATAAAATTGCGGAACACACAGCCCGAGCTGATCGTGAACATGACGCACACGGTCTGTGTGACGGAGGTCAGCAGCATGATGACTGCCTTCCTCTATTCGGTTGAGACGCAGACGACGATTGGTTATGGCAATCGTTTCGTCACGGAGGAGTGTCCGGAGGCGATATTCACGATGTGCATCCAATGCATTACGGGTGTCTTCATTCAGGCCTTTATGGTGGGCATTGTCTTTGCCAAGCTCTCGAGGCCCAAGAAGCGCGCCCAGACGCTACTCTTCTCGCGCAACGCCGTCATTTGTCATCGAGATGGCTCTCCCTGCCTGATGTTCAGGGTCGGGGACATGCGCAAGTCCCACATCATTGAGGCGCATGTGCGGGCGCAGATCATTCGGAAGAAGGTGACCAAAGAGGGCGAGGTGCTGCCCTTCTATCAGCAGGAGCTGCATGTGGGCGCCGATGGTGGGGAGGATCGTCTGATGTTCATCTGGCCCACAACCATAGTGCATAAGATAGATCGTAGCAGTCCGCTGTACATGCTCTCTGCCTCGGACATGCTGAAGGAGCGCTTCGAAGTGGTCGTCATGCTGGGTAAGTTTGCTAAATTCCTAACCTAGTCTGGGCCGGAACTCAACCATTCATCGTTTTGTAGAGGGCGTTATTGAGTCCACGGGCATGACGACGCAGGCGCGCAGCAGCTATTTGCCTTCGGAGGTGCTCTGGGGCCATCGTTTTGTCAATGTAGTGTCCTTCCGCAAGGAGACGGGCGAATACGAGGTGGACTATACGCTCTTTAACAACACCTACGATGTGGACACGCCGTTGTGCAGTGCCAAGCAGCTGGACGAACTCAAATTGGAGTACACAAAGACCGCCAAGAGCGTCATGGGTAAGCTACGGTGCATTCGCCATGGAACGAACCCATCCTTATACAGTCATGCCTTGTTCCTTCTGCAGATCGCACGCAATCGGCGAATATGTTCCAGAGGTTTGCCTCAGCCGCTTCGGTCGATCATTTGGATCCGGCCAGCGATGAGTCGCTGGACTCCGGACGCCTGCATATACGCTCGCATTCCATACCAAACGGTGTGCTGGCCAGCGAGCTGGAGCCGTTAAACAACAACAAGCATGGTGCTTGCTTCACCATGGGTGGTCTGACGATAACAACGACGGCGCCCAGCATACCAAACCTATCAAGTATTAATGAGAGAACCAGCTCCGGTAATTCCATAAACAGCAGCAACTACAGCAACAACAACAGCCTCAGCACTCTGCCCCTCAGTCCCAGTAGCGCTAGCACCGCCAGCGGGGCCACCATTGTACCCAGTGCTCCCGGGAGCAATGTGCGCTCCAAGCAATCCAATCCGCGACGCCTGTCCATTAAGCAGGACCAGCTGCCCATTGATTCCATGTGCTGATATTTGCGAATCAGCTTGCGTCACCCGATCCGCAGTTGTATTCCAGGTGTAGGCGCTCCTAATACTAATACTAATTGATATTAATGTTAATTTAATGATTTTTGCGTCTCACGAGATAACGCTGTTTGGGGAAAGAGAACACTCATCTACAATTTTGGGTCTCCTTTGCCTCTGTCTCAACTCGGTTGATGATAATTACTGTCGTTAGTTATTAGCTTTAATGAATTTATTATAAATAAGCTTCAAATGATATTAAAAACAAGGCAAGCAACAAGATTACGTACACACTTACATATACTATATAGTGCTACTATAATGCATAAAAAAAAAATGAAACCAAAATGCTACAACTTCCTCGTTAGTTTGTAATGGTAGGGAAAAGTTTGTTTGTAAAGCTCACAAATTAGATTTTACCGTGCTCCAGAATTTTTAAGATAATTGTTAAATGTTTTAAACACACAAACACACATCTCCTATTTATTCCAAAATTGTAAAACTATGCTGCTGAGTGGAATAAGTTAAAAACACATGAGCTTCAATTCAAAAAATGTCTGGACAATAAAATTGTATGTAAATGTCGATAATGTGTAATTTATTTTTATTAACGATCGGAAGATTGTAACAAATTAAAGACATAGACTATATATTTTTAATTAGTCGTTTTATTAATTAGCCATAGCTCCAGCAATCGAAAAAACAAACAGATAAAATCTTTATCTACTATCTTATACTGTATTTCAAGTTTGAATTATATTTTCTGCCCAAAAGTATGCAATAGATTTGTCTGCATTCGGACGAAAAACAAAAACAACAATTTCAGACGACTATATTTTTCCGCATTATAAGGCTGCTGCTTATTTATGTTCGCCTGGTATTTCGTTATTAGGGTGGCCTGCAAATAAAGAACTCGACTCGTACGCCCTCGGCCATTCAAAATTAGTGTTGCATTCCCACCTTTAACCAACTTTTCAGGTATATTTTAAATAAAAACACAATGCGATGATATATTTTTAAGTTTCGTTTTTTATTTCGTTTTTTTTTTTTGTTTTTGTTGCTGAGAAGTTTTTTGTTTTGTTAAAGCAATTTATTTGAAATAAACATAGACAAATAGAACAAACTGTGCCCATGCGCCACTAGACTGAATTAGACACTTGAATAGTCACTCCGAATTGCCAAATAGTCCAGCGGCGATGTCTTTTTACTTGTATGTCCAACTGGAATCAGAGCTGTGCTATGTTAGCAATCCAAAGAAACTGGGAAACCCGATTGTTCGTAACTTCAAAAGCTAACGACGAGCGCTTAGTCTAGTGTCCCATGGGCATTACTTAGGTTTTATTATTTATGTCAATTTTAGTACGAAGTTTGCCTTGTTACGTTTGCTTATGTTTACAGGCGCGCGCATAGTAGTTTTTTGTTTAATTTTAGTACCATTTACAACAAATAATATCGCATCTTGCGTCTGGAGTCACACATTATTGGCCACCAGATTGCAAATCATATGCGACAAACATATGCATATACGAAATCAATTACAACAATTTGAATACGTATGTGTATGTATGCATGTGTAAGTGTGTGTGTATGTAACAATTATCTTTATCGCTAATCGTATGTACTATATAGTTAAACTCTTTATGCAATAGGACATGTGTAAGAATATTAAATATTAATATTACTCTGTTTGTTTTTGCAACTTTCGAACTGCAAAGGTGCCGAGGTCGTGGCCTTTGTGACAGTTTTGTGTACAATATAGTTGTTTCTCATGTTGCTGTTGTTGTAGTACAGTTTAACTTTTTTTTTTTTTGTTTTTTTTTTCTACCCTTCGAGCTAAGAAGCATTTACATTCAGCTGCAGTTTAGCGCTAATTTAATTATATATAGCTATTTACAAATCTTAGTAGCTAGACTTACAACTATAACTTAGACGAATTATCCACTAGCTGGTATCATTATTTCTATTTGGGTTCCTTATGTATGCGTGTGTGTGTGTGTTTGTTTGTTTGTATGTATGTATATAAATGCCCTAGACTTTAAAACGCTTCACACTGCTTCGTTATCGCGTTAACTACGTATATATGTGTGTATAAGCTATAAACTACACGCGTTAGATACAACATTGTCGAGTATCCAGCCATCGATCTTTCTCAACCTTTACAAATCGTGTGCCTTATGAAATATATTTTACATGCTTTTATACAACTATTATTATTAGCATTATTATGTAAATGTAGTGTGTAGCATCATTTTGTATTGGACGACGCGTTGTAAAACGAAAGTGTGATTGAGAGTGAGTGTGTGTGTGGTCGGTCTTTACTGTATTTTTTTTTTTGTTTCTTTCTTTTATGATTTTCTTTCTTCTTGTTTTTTCATTTTCTTTTGTTTTTTTTTTCTTCCGGCATGTTGACTGTTTTTTAATTTTTTATTTCAAGAATTAAGAGAAATATAGAGTTAAAAAATTATTTATCACAAGTAATATTTTAGTTTTAAAGTTTTCCTATCATGATCTGAGGATTAAGTAAAAACCATATCCTAATGTTTAACGAGAGCAGGGAAGCTTGTTATGTAACACATGATATGCAAATTGAAGTTATCTAATAAAAAATTTAAAATGTTTATGGAAACGCTAAAAATTATAAAATAAATAACAAATACGTTGACTAAAAACCATACGGGAAGTAGTGCAGAGTAAAGAAAATCAGTTTGTTGCTTGCTCGATTTGTGGCAGCAGCACTGTTTCCGCAACATGTGTTGCCCGCAACATGTTGCCGCTCTCAAGCAGACACACGCCAAAGCCAAACTGTATGAACAGAGAGAGGAGAGAGCTAGAAAGCAAATGTTGGCAAGAGCTGTCTTTAGTAATACAAATAGCTGTTGTTGTAGAAATCGTAACGGTACTCGTATTGCTGTTCCTGGCGCTGTTGTCGCCCCTGTTGCTGCTGCTGGTGCTGTTGTTGGCGCTGCAGTTGCTGCTGTTGAAAGTTTGTCAACCAACTTGTTGTTGCGGCAATTCGCTCTAACAGGTACTTTCATTCCTTGTGCTGCGTCGTATGGTGCGGATGTTGCGGCTGTTGCTGATTCTGGGCTTGTTGCTGCTGCTGCAATTGCTGTTGTTGTTGCTGATGCAACTGTTGTTGCTGTTGCAATTGTAACTGTTGCTGCTGCGACATGGCCGCCACATGCGGAGATGCCTGATGAAGCTGCGGCGCCGGCGCCAAATGATTATGCAACGATGCCTGTGTGCGCGCAATGCCATTGTGGGCATGTCCATTCAGGTTGCTACTGCCAGATGATGCCACGGCACTGGACGCGGTTGTGCCTGTGCTGTTGCTATCAGATTTGTCGCGCGGCAACAAATAAACTGATCCATCGGCAGCCTGTTGTAAGCTGTAATCAGTGGGAGAGCAGGGATTACCCTCCGGATCGCGGAGATACTGCAAACAAAGAATCAGAATATTATTTATTTATTTATAACTAATACACTTAACATCAACATATAAAATTGTTGTTTAAATTGAATGCTATTTCGACGTCTTACACATGCATACACTACAAGTTATTTGAATCGCTAGGGAATGTTACTATTTACCTGGAACACGTGACGATGCAGACAGGCGAACTTGTTGGAGATGCGTTTGCGTTCAGCGTCCAGGGAGTCATGCTCCTGAGTCAGATGTGCCTTGCGCTTCACCACCCTGTTTACCTCATCCTCGAGCGTGAGTATCTGATCCAGTTTGCGTTTACGACAATTTTGGGCTGCCACCTTGTTCTTGCCACGTCGCCGAATATCGCGTATCAGCGACAGTTGATTCTCGCTGAGATCGTACTTGGACAAACGCTCGTTGAACTCGTCCATCGGCAAGTTGATGATGTCGCTCACTGGTATGGGTATGTTGAGGGCGCGAGCACGCTTCTCATCGCGCGTCAAATGTTCCTCCTCGCTGAGGCTGCTGGCGCTGCTTCCACCTGCCTTCGATGACGTATGTTTGGTTGCTGCTCCCCCGTGGGGTGTCTTCTTGTCGCGCGCCTGTGGTCGTGGCTGTGAGCCCGTACCCTGGGGCAGAGAATACGTGTGATTGTGCGTGACAATTTCCTGGGGCGTGCGTGGGGGACGTACGGTGTAGTCCACCGAATAAGCACCACCCATGCCATAGCCCTGATGATGGGGATAGTCCTTCGAGAGGGAAGGTCCCATGGCACCTGGCTCGCTGCTGCTCAGCTGGAGCGGTACAGGTCCACTGGCCATGCCCGCGTAGCCTGCGTCGTATTCGTATTTAATGGACTGCACCTGTGCCTGAGCCTGGCACTGCACGGCGCTGGCCTGGGCGGTTGGCGGAAGGGGTGGTGCAGTAGCTCCTGGCGGCGGTGCAGCTGTTGGCATAGCGCTGGGCAGCTGCTTGTGCGGATCCCTCTTTCCATAAAGCTGATGCTTCTTTTGCGCTACTGGGGGCTGCCGTGTGGCCGCACTTATACGTGTTGTGTTGTTGTAACTGAAGTCATATGGCCCGCCATATTTGCCGTGATGATAATCCTGCGCCGAATCGCTGCCCTCGCCCCACTCCCCATCCGAGAGGGATGGCACACGTTCGGAGCCCATTGAACTCACGGCACTGTCACTGGATGCGTCCAGACGATCGGCGCCAGCCTGCGCGCCTCCACCACCGCTGGGCAAAAGATCGGCGGTCATGCCCACTGCAGCTCCACCGGCTGCACCACTCATAGGAAGTCCTGCGCTTGCGCCAACCGCTGCGTGATTGCCACTGGCTCCAGGTACAAGGGAACCAGCACCTCCAGAGGAGTGGCTACCATGACCTGATGTAGCACCGCTGGGCAATCCCAGAACCGAAGAATTGTTGCTGGTGCTGTTGTCCACAATGCGACAGAAGCCTGCAAAAGCAAGAATAGAGCATTAGGTCAGTTTTAAAATACGCTGATCATTGGTAGTGGTTATACAAAAAAATTGCCTAGTCACTTCAAGTCAGCAAGAGAAGGCGCTATCGACCCGCTGATATGATTAGGCGACGGACCAAATTTATTGGGGCACACCAAGGGGCGACTAAATTTGCCTTGCTCGCAAAGTCAGCAGCCATCTATCTACCTACATACAAGTACATATGTATGTATGTTTCAACAATTCGCTTTTCCTATCTCATTCGTCGTCGCATTAATGCCGCCCTCTTATCTAGAGATAATTCTGATAACTGCAGCTTTACACTCTCTCTCTCCCTCTCTATCCCTGTTTTTACATTCTTTACAGTTTCACTTTCATGTTTATTTTGCGACTCTGTTCCAATATTTCTTGATTCCTTGATTTTTGGTCCAACTTGTATTACGTGCTAATTCGAACGACTTCCCTCCATATTCGTTCGGTGTCTTTATCTTATCGCTAAAACTACTTCAGCGAATGACCCGTGAACTGCTACTAAGTGTTTTAACTAAACGAAAATCCGGAGAAAACGTGCACAGCGTCATGATGTGGCAAAAATATTTACGCAACCGCTGCTACAAAGGCAACGAGAAAAGGTAGATAAGGTCTAGGTCTAGCAGAGCAGAGCCTCATAGGTCGATTCGAGCGCGCACACACCTTTGGAGCGCAGCTGATAATGGGAAACGCTTAATCGTGCATATTGATAGACGACAAAGTATGAACTAATTAAACTAATTATACTACGTACTGTTGAAGTTTCCAATCTAGGCTTTAAAGTACATATGTGCATACAAATGTATGTCTAGTACATATATGTACATACATCTATGATTTAAAAACTTACAAAAGCAACACAAGCAAAAATAGTAAGGCATTGGATTTAGGATATCTGCTAGATACCACAATATGTACATATGTATGTATGTATGTACATATTTACATATAAAATGAAGCATACTGAAGAATGTGTAAAGAATGTACAAATTAGCGGCATTCCCCAAATAGTGTGTTTTCGGGTGCCGCCTGTACTTATTTGTAGACACAGACGTACATAAGTACCCACACACATACATACATGCATACATATTCATTTGTAGGTGATAAGTATTCAGACCAAGGTCAAGTCCTACTAAACAGCATTTGATGAGTTGGCATTATGTTTATGCGTAGACTAATCAGTGGACCAATGGCCAGGCTCATCCAAAAAAATGAATAGCGTCATCAATACACACACACGCCCAGACATGACACAAACGTAGGAATATAACGGAAATCATAAAGATAACGGTTAAAGCGCCTGCACGTTTTATGATCAAATCGAAATGGAAATGCTTCTTTGTTTCAAAATATGACAAAGCACGCCCCAAGACACGTAGAGAAAACAGCTTGTTGTTGTTGTTATTATTGTTAAAAATTACAAAATGCAATTGCAAAAACATATGTACATACAAGCATACACATTGAAATGTGCGCGAAGAGGAACAGCGAGAAGAGAGCAATTGGCAGACTACCTGCACACCTACATATTATACAAGTATGTGTGTACATACATACATACATATATATGTATGTACGTGAATGCGCTAGAATTTCTACATGAAAAAAGTCTACATAGCATGAAACTTTTTTTTTTTTTAATAAGCTTTAACGTTATTGTTTCGAAAAGAGATGACTCAGCAATTTAAAAATAGTAAACAGCGAAACTTGCTTAAGTGAGCGCGCGTTAGAAGGCGAACACCAACAGAGAGAATGCTTTGCTGATATCAGCAACCGAGAGCAGCGGCAGAGAGAGAGCGCAGATCTTGTCGAAAGAGCGAACAGCATGACTAATGAAAAAATTGTTACGCGGCAGCGGCGACCGCAAACTTTTTTTTTTTAATATGCATGTCTTGCGCTTTCTAGGGCCCCCCTTTCCACTACCAACAAACGACATACAAACGATGGGGCGGTAGCATAAAAATAAAACAGATTGTCTAACGCCCCACCCGCACGCATCCAAGGAAGTCCATATTATCATCATCACTCGCTCTCACCTGTTGATTTTCGCAATGGGCTGCCTGCCGTTTTTGGTTTTTCTCGTGTTCGTTATTCGTTGGAATATTATTGTTCGTTTTTCACAGATGCGTTACTCACGCGTCATCAACTGTTCTAAATTCAAAACATACACTCGTGCTTCTACTTGTATATACATGTGTACATAGATTTGTATGTATTTATATGCATATGTATGTACATACATAAATAGATATGTATATATCTCAATGTATGTGCGTATCGTTCTAATATGCCATGTGCGTCATATTTTAATTTGTGCTAATTTATTATTAATTTCGTTAGTTTTTAGAGTTCTGCACGGAAATTTTAAACTTTTTTCAACTATGCGGCGTTTAAGTTCACATCTTTTCGCATGCTTTCTGTTCTCATGATCGTTGTCATATGTATGTACGTATTATTTTTCGCCTATTATGTATTTACTACACTATCGTATTCGATTGTTCGTGTTCGACTGAATTGTCGCTCGATTCGTGCGGCGTTCTTGTGTTGACGTTGTGGCGTTTTTTTCTGTTCGTTTCTTCTTTTTCTTTCTTCCCACTGAGCACGCGCGATTGAATGAGTGCGAACGTTGCCCACTCGAAATCAAACTAATTGTACGAATTTTATGTTAATCACAAAAAACGGCAACGAGAGCAAAGCAAAATGTGCCAACTGAAAAGCTTAGCTATATCGGTACATTTTTGAGTGTTTGTTTTGCCAAAGCTTACGCGTGCGTATTTTGCTGTTTCATTTTTCTTTCTGCCGTTGCTGCTGCTCGAGTGGCTTTCTGAGTGACTTTGGCATGCGCGCTGTGTAATATTCTTGAGTTTGAGTGAAAGCTCTTCGTATGGTGCGCATGTGGGTGTGACTATGTAGCGTCGGCTTTAAAATTTCGCGCGTTTGGGGCTTACATAAATCGTTAATTTGAAAAAGAGTTTACGAATTGTGGAAATAATTTACGGAGAGTCAGCTAAAATTAGAATATTGAAGGAATTGAAAGAGGAAACAATTTCCAAATTGACTTTTGATAATTCTGTTAATTGAAATCTTGCAATAATAAAGGCACGAACTATTTATAGGACTCATAAACATTAGGAAGTAGGCCGTAAATTAAGCGGTAGCTGTTAACAAAATTTCTTTGGCGCTAAATATATGTATGTATAAATCACCTGCTAATGTACATAATATAAACGTTTCTTATTACTTACTTTCGTTCATATCCATCAAATGCAAATCTTCATCATTCAAAAACGAGTTAATAAATCCATCTGTGGTATGATTCATGTCCGAAGAAGCGTTCTACCAAAGGTTATGAAGTCAAGTTAGAAGGTGAACAGCCAAAATCTGAGCCTCTACAAACTTACCGAGTAATACATCATGTCGTGCTCCATCTTGTAGGGGTTGCCGGCAGCGGCGGACGCTGCACCATCGGCGTCGTGACTCGAGTTAGTCAGATGCATGCTGGAAGAGACGGCAGAGCCCAAGTTATGGCCGTAGTGGGGTTGGGGGGCACCGGCGGCTGAGCAAATGTCTCCAAGGGCCGAATTGGTGGCATGCAACATGGCTGCATGGTGGCCATGATGCGGTGGCGGCGCCACCCCATGTCCATACTGCTGAGTGGGCGGCATAGCGGCTCCCGGGCCCTGATACGAATAACTGGGATAGTGCGGATAGGGGGGCATTTCCATGCTCGGAATGGGAGCCAAGAATGTGGCAATGTCCTGCAAGCGTTCCATGCGATTTAGCGGCGGCATGCGGCTCTGCAATGGGAATAAAGCAATTCGGATATGATTAATTTGTTAAGGCCCTAAACTGTTGATGTATTAACAAGGTGAGAAGGGTTTAATCGTGTCAGAAAACGAACAAACGAGCGATGGATCTCATATCAGTTAAATCTCATACGCGATATGAGGCAATTCGAGGCATCGAGTCAATTCGTCAGTCACTCCGTTTGCCGGGAACTTATGAAATATATAAATAAGCGATCAATCATCTGAGAGAGCGCATGAATTCGTTTCGTTTTGAATTCTGTAGAAGTAAGAAAAAAAACCCCCCAACAATAAGCCGAACAACAGCCAGTTGGCCAACAACTCAAGCCATTCAAATACACAAGAAGGCGATGAAAAAAAACCAACTAAATTGAAATTGCGCTGCAAGTAAACAATCGGCCAACCAGGCAAGCAGCCCGACTCTGTACGTCTCTTGGCCGCGTCTGTAAGCCAAAAAACGTGCACAATGTATCAATCTGGCGATTTTCGACTTGCTCAGATATGTTGTTGTTGTTGTTTTTGTAGCCTTTGCTTGTGCCAAGATCGATCAACATGAAATTGAAATAAATTTCATTTCGTTAAAATTGACAAGTGCTCAGCGGTCGTCGCTGTTTTTTATTTTTATTTATTAATAATCCATATGATTTTTTCCCCCTTTTTTTGCTCTGTAAAAACCTTTTTACGTATCTGTAAAATCTTCGGTATCTGTATCTGTTTGTGTGTGCGCGTGTGTGTTTGAGAGTCTTGGCTACATGATCGACAGTCGTCGGCACGGCTTGGCGCAAAATCGTGAACATTCATACACCCATGATCAAAACTATAGAAGCAACCATATCTTGCTTCGTTCTAATATTCGTTTTATGTATGTTATTGAATTCTAGCAAGATCTAGGATTAATTTAAATATACTAATATTCTATATAAAATATTTTCTTCGCATTCGCGTAAGACTGTACCGAGTCATGTTGGCAGCAAAATGTTTATGAAGTGAAGCCACAGACTGTCATCAATTTCGATCTCATTTAGGTACAGTTGTCTAAAGAAATAGAATTGACTCTCTCTTAGTTCAGTGTTTTAGCAAGATTTCAATGAACAATTTAGTGAACATCCACATAAAATTATCAATAAATTTCTAACATTACTGAGCATAGAATGGTTCAGCGATGCCTTCAAATTAGGATACAAATTATATTATTATTCTGATGGGGACTTCAAATAACACTTAAAGATTGCAAGAATGTAGCCCCAGTATTATATTCTGACAACGATCTTATAAAAAGCTTTAAAAAGAATCGATATCATTCGATTCATAATATTCGTAATTTTTTATAAAAAAAAAAAAAAAAAAAAAAAAAAAAAAAAAAAAAAAAAAACAAACAATCTCAGTTAGGCATAACACACACAGCTTTACTGTAACTACAATTTCGAGCTTGGGTGTATCTGTCTATCTTTGTTATAGTCTCAGACATGTTGTTGCCGACAACGACAATTTTTAGCAACAATGGCGGGCTTGCAACGGACGACGACTTCATTAGGCACATTTTTGTTATTCTTAATTATCGCAAGTTTATTTATTTGCACAACTAATTCCAGTAGAGCACTCTACAGACTCTGCCCCATTGCATACTCTGAGGCGTGGGCGTGTGGGCGTATCTCCAAGAGAGGTAGCCAGCCCTGCACGCATGCACAGTTGGTGAACTCGAAACATCTTGAGAAATGCATAAACTCCGTAGCAATTACCTTTTTGTAATAATAAATTCGCTTCGCGTTAAATACTATGCCTGTCGTATTTTGTTCTCTTATTTTTTTCACTTTTAACAAAATGCACGATTGAACAATTTGTTAAGTCGAAATGCAGCAGCAATTAAGAGTTAAAAGCAGCACAACAATAACAATCACAGGGGCGTTAAACCGAAAAATTGAAGCCTGCTCGCGGCATCAGCGACGTTGGTTATGACGATGATGTTGATGTGTGCAGCTGATGCCAAAGTTGACTTTGCGCAGACGACATTGACATTGAGATAAAAATCATCGAAATATGACGCGACGCAGACGCTCAGACACTGACGATCAAAGAGACGCACGGTAACCAACTGAAAAGTAGGTGTAAATAAAAATAAAAAATCGAAAACTGAGAGCAACGATGTTAACTCCTTTGCGCGTTGACGTTGAGTTTATGTGTGACGTTTACGATGGCGAGACGGCAGGCGAATGAGCAACTTTTGACTGACAGTAGCTGAACAGAAGAAGAGCAAGAAAAGAAGAAGAGGGCGACTCACAGTACAACAACAGCAATAAGTGAGGTTTGGCAAACACGCAAGCACACACACACACGCTTCGGCATACATACATACGTATACAAATAAAACGTGTGCATCTAATGAATGCCTTAGCACTCCTGTACAAACAGGTAATACAGCATTGCCAGCTTCAACTGGGCGTTTACTTTTGTTTCGTTCCAGCCAGTTGCATCTGCAGTGAGTGTTTATATATGTACATACATACATATGTATGCATGTATGTGTATACATATGAATGTGTGCATGTGATTTTGTTCAGATGCTTGCAGGTACAAACGTATGTATGTACATATGTATGTATGTATGTATGTATGGAATTTCAATTGTCACTGTCTTGTCATTAACTTCTGGTGTTAGTTTGTTCAACTACTACAACAACGTGCCTGCTGGTCGTTGTTGTTGTTGCGTTTCACACGCAATTTAACTAAGATTCTCTCTCTCTCTACCTCTCCAAATATGTAACTGTATGTGCGTGCCCTGAGAGCAGTAAAGAGCGATTTAATTTTGAAGAAAAGTGCCGTTAGTATGGCGTGTGCATGTCAGAGTTGTTGCTGTTATTAGTGTTATTATTACCTATACTATACAGTTAGGTCTAATACATTTGATTGCAGCTTGCATCCAAGTATCTAAGTTGAGAATATTCCAAAGTTTACATATCCACAGCCGGTATGGAATGTGAACAACAAGTGCACTTGAGTTTAGTCATTAATTTGATTTATGTACTGTATGTTCACAAATGAGATAAAGTGACAGCAACGTTGATGTCGTCGTCGGCAGGCTTCAAACTGTTTACATAAATTGAATTAAAACGTACAACACACAAGAGCTAAAAAAAAAAATAAACACGACACAAAAGATGCTGTAAAATAATTAATAAAGTTTTTTGTGCTGATTTTTTGCTAAGGTTTTTGTAAATATTAAAAATTCACACAATTAATGCTGCGCGCAGCGATTAAGGTGACGATGAATCGGGCAGCTCCGTCACATTAAAAGTAACTTTTTTGCCCGCGCGCGCTAAATGGAGATTTAATTGCAGGGGCTACTACAACAGCAGCGCTTTGGAGTGCGAGCGCTGTAACTGAAAGATGCAATCAAGTCGGGACCGAGACGACAGTTCGTTCGGACAGTCATTGAGGCGCGCAAGTGCCACCGAATTCAATAAACACTTCTCGCGCAACGCGGAAAAGTCAAGTGGCAACAACAACAAAACAAACGGCGGTTAATGAACGCAGGCGCCGTAAGGCAGCAGCCTCAGTAGCAACAGATGCCTAAGCTTAGCCAATGTGCAGTACTTTTTTTCTCATTCATTATTTTATCGCGGTTTTTGTTAGTAATTAAGACACTGGGAAGGCGGGGCAAGCAGCCCTACAATGAAGATGAACCAACAGGCAGCGGCAAATGGCAAATTAAATGTTATCAGGAAGTGCGAAATGCATGCATTAACATAACCCATAACATTACTGTTTACATTAACATTACATAATGATGCCGGCAAGCTAGCTGTGAAGTCTAAGCGGCGCCACTGCTAGCGGAAAACTTTAAAGCCAGGCTTAATGTCACTTCTGACTAAGAATTCAAATCCCAAAGAAAGGATTAAGAAAAGCGCTTCCTCGAATCCAAGCCAAACAGATGATCTGGCTCATTAAATGGCTTAACCGTAGCCTGCACTTTGCACTGCACTTGCAACCTGCTGAGCATTCATGAAACACAGGGGCCGGGACAGGGACAGGGACAGCACATCAAAGCATCAAATGCTAGACGCGCCGCCATCTCACCAGAGTGAGACCACAGAACACGGACTAATCCGTTGAACGCAGACCGCAGCGTGCGGTCGTTTGTGCTGCTACCGGTAAACGAGACTTTACGGTAATTGTCGCTGACTTCATGACTGTTTTCTTTTATTGTTGTTGCCATTGTCATACACAGCTTGGAATCCGCTTCATTAAATGCGTACGCATGCGCAAAATACACACACATACACATACATGTATGTATGTACATAGTTAGAGAGACCTGCAGGTACTTTCATCCACCCTTTGGATTTCCATTCATTTGCATAACCACAGCTAGGGTGAGACATGTGTCTCGAACTGATGATTGGATCACTTGTTTTGCCACCTTTGTGGCTGGCAACAAACAATAGTGTAGATCAAACATTATTAGAGCTAAGCCGTTTGGCTTTACATCCTGGCACTATATTTAAGGGGATTCATTCATCAAACCACTGCGACCATTAATGAAGCCCTGAAGTTTCTCTACACTGATCTACAACCCCTATACTGCATAATCGTAAAACTTAAATAAATATCTTTTTCGAAAAACATCAAAGCTGCATAAATAATCGCAAATTAATGAAGTATTGAATGATGATATTTTATAAACGATCTGCGCAGTATTCCTAAACTTAGATGAGGTAGAAATTATCGTCGTTTGTGCTAGAGCTATATACTCTTTACTTAAGCTTTATTTCATTCATTTGGTCCCTGAAACATCTAATTATACACTAGAAATTACAGTTTACCTTTTTTGCATTGTCATCCAGAGTAACTATTTGCAATCCACGAGTGATGCAACACCTTCAAAGAACACAACAACATTCTCAATATGCAATTAAGCACCAATATCTTTATAAACAAAAAGTTTTCGTATATGAGCTCTTTCGAAATTATATCGTTTATCTGACAGAATAGCATAAGGTTATCTCACATGGTTGGTGCAAAGTATCTTTAATTGTTTTGTGGAAGAAGGAGTTGTACTTGAATTGAAACAGAATATTGTTGGATAGGCGAAGAGTAAGAAACGTTAAGAAGAAAAGTTGAGTTAAGAAACGTTTTTTTTTTTTTTTTGAGAGAGCTTGTCTTTATACTGCGAGAGTTGCTTAATATGAACCCAATATCTGGGTAAACTAATCTATGAATAGTGCCAGACGCGCTGTAAGCTCAAATCGCCAGTAGACCCGTCTATACTTAGACAACACCTTGGTCCAGTCGCGTGAACTCTTGGTGAACCAATCAACTAATCAATCCACCAACACTAGTATTTTAGGTAGAAAGCAGACCTAAGCAGTTAACAACAAACTTGTATGTATGAAAACCTATTCTTCTAAACAATTCTATGCTATCCCACATTAGCAGGTTTGTTGAAAAATTCAATAGTTCACGATAAATTGAAAATGAATCGAAATGCCAGCTGAGCAAGCGGCTGAAACAGGTAACTCGACTGCTGCTCAATCAAATCATATAAAAAATCAACACGACGATGGTTTATGAGTGCATGAGGGCCCAGAATCTTTACAAAACTTCAGAGTTGAAGCAGCAGCGCCAAGCAGGCACACTGAAGCTGATGCTGAAGCTACAACGATTTTTGTTGTATTTACATTTTAAATATATTTCTCCTCGAACATTTTTTGATGAGCAGTTACAACAAAAAGCCAAAAGGCAGACAACGACGGACCCGAGCTGATTGACGAATGTATTGCCATCGGATCGTGAATCTTGGGCCACAGACAGCAGTTGAAATGAATGTACAACCAGATTTTAAGCTTTGTACAAACAACAAACATAAAAAGAACAACAATCATGAGAGCAGCCCAAGATCAAGTGCTTGAGAATGAACGATGAAACTCTTTTTTTTCTTTTTTTTTTTTTAATATACATACATACATATGTATGTATGAAAAGCAAGACGAAAACACTCCAAGAAGACGACGCGCAGATGATCCTTGAATGGCCAAATACATATGTACATGTATAAATACATATATATAAATATATATATATATATATTTTCTGACTTGACTGACAACGGATGCGAATACTCGAGAAAGTTGTGTCCGAGTGCAATCAAAAAATCAAAGCCATTTGCGATCGCAAATTATTCATGCATTCAATTATAGGGATTAAGATCAGCAGCCCTCGCCCATTCTTACCTGATGGGGTCCATGATGGAAGCCGCTTGCCGACGTCTGACGATGGAAAGCGCTGTTCGCGCCACTGCCCACGCTGGCATAGTTGGGGCCGGCCTGCACCGCCCGCTGGTGGTGATGGTGATGGGCAGCAGCTGCGGCAGCGGCATGATGAGCGATCTGGTGGTGATGGTGGGGATGATGATGATACGGTGGCGCCGTTGACTGCAACATTTCGTCTAGTTCCTTCTTGGTCTCCTCATCTAAACCGAAACCAATGGAGAAAGTATCGTCGTCACTGTCCTCGTCTCCAATGGAGTTGGAATCGTCTTTCGAATCGTTGATGCTTGGCTCAGAGTTGACAGCGCTGTTCTCAGAATTATCCTTCTCCGTCTGTACCACCGACGGAATATTGTTGTTGTTTAAAGCGGCGGCCGCTTGCGATGTTGAAGCAATAGAATCGCTATTTAGCTAACAGCGTAAAAGACAAATAGAATCAAATTGCTCAAGCAGTTCTACTTGCAGGACATGTACTTACATCTTCTTCTTCTAGTGGCAATTCCGAAAGTCGCAGCACGTCATCAATCAACTCATCCAGAGGCAAGCGAATATATTCACCTGTGAAGCAGAAAAAAGTTGGCAATTTGTTAGCATCTGCTGTCCTCGGTGGTCGGTATTTAGATTCTATGTTTATATATATACAATATATGATGAGACAGCTTCCTAGATTCAAAAACGACCTAAAGTCATAGTAATAATCCATGTTGCGTTGCTAAAAAGTTTGCGAACTGAAACAATTTTCTCTTAGTGATGACCGCTTTATGCTAAGGTGGATTCAAACAAGTTATCGATAGCAGTCGAAAGTTCCAGAAAGAGGGAATATTGACCGCCATGTTTGAAATGGGAAAATTTATTGGGTTCTTCATTCATCTCCGACACAGAGTTGAGGGACAAAGCTTTTGTCGAAGACATATCTCTCTAGAGAACATCTATACGAATCTTACTCTCAAATCAGTGATATACTCGTATAATGAAGGGAAGATGAATAGATAGAGAATTATTAACACAGTGTTGTTATGTAAAGCAATTCTTTGAAACCCTAGTTGCTACACAGTGAAAAAAAAGTTAAACTTTGTAAAAAGAAGGATCATCAAAAAACAAAAAGCTGAGATTCTGTGTATAGGACTAGTTACCATTCTTTTTAAACAAGCAAGGTTCCTCAGTATTTAAATAAATACCTAATTGGAATCTAATTTTGGGGGATAATACCCTAATATTGGTTATATGTTAGATTTCGATTGTGCCACAATGCCAAGCAGAATTTTTCAGCAGCTTCTACATTTTCTCAATAACTATCCTTGATCCCAAGATAATTGCTTCATGGTAGGTAAAGCAAGCATTCCCTTCTTTATGCAGTAAGCATTCTTAAAATGAAAATATGAAAATATTTTGATCGTGTGGAATTCGTCATGTAAACTCTCCAGAGCACGATCAGTTCTTGACTGACTGTTTACTCAGTGTTTAAATATTGTACAAATATCAAATGGACGTTGTTCCCAGTGCGCTCAACTCTCTCGAGACACGTTTCTAGCCATGCATTCAATGTGGAAAAGACAAACAGTAGCACTTTCCTGTGGGACTACGATTTATGACAGACGAAATGGGATGAGCTGCGATGGTCAAGGCAGTAGGAGAATGAGAAAAAAGAAGGCCCGCCAGGCTATTTGATCATTTACATCATTAATCATAAATATGGAGAAGGTGCTCACATCATAAGCTGACGGATGCAGCTGAATTTGGCCAACCAATCCTAATTTATGATGTGCATTCATATTTGTAGCTGGCAGGGCAGCAGCTTGACGCCATTTACTAGCAAAAACAGCAATAAGAATGTAGCTCCCTCCTCTACATTTATTGTATCAATTACAAACGCCCAACAATCAAGCATATTGACCAAAACCAAATATTTGCATTAAGAATTCATGGAACTGCCCGCACGACAAGTATCAGAAAAGTAGAAGAAGAGGGAGGAAATTATCAGAAAATTACTACTTAACATCGCGGACAGGCCAAACAAAATTCCAAGAAACGAAACCAAAGTGGTAGCCACCAAACCGACTAAATATTAAATAAAAGAAACGAGCAACAACAAAAATAAAAAAAGAGCAAGAAAAACAAAAACTGTGGGCGCACTCGACGATTCCAGCCGGCTACGGCTCCGGCTGCGGACCCGGCTCCGGCCCGTGGGCAAACATCTAGATAAAAACTAAAAAAAAGGCGCAACTTGGCCAAGAGCTAAAGCCAAAACTGTGTGTATGTGTGTGTTTGGAGATAAAGGTAAGCAAAGGTAAGTGCAGGGAAAATTGTGCGCTCAAGTGCTGTGACGACGACGACGCTCACGACCTTTGGCTTTGGACACACAACACAATAGACCAGCAGCAGTACTTGAGGAGGGTCAGAAAAAAGTGGGTAGAGAACAAGAAAAAAAGAATTAGAATAAACATGGTACAATTCTTGGCCCAATGTCCGATGTTATTCTTACAATTGGTTACAAAATACATTTAATTTTCATTTCGACCATTTTGTGCGTGCAAGCCAACTGTTCGCCTCCCTCTTTCTCTCTCTGTGTGTGTTGGCCATGTTTTTCTAGGCGCTGCTGGCTGTTATTTTAGGGTCGCTATGTCAGCCGTAGTGCTTAGTATGAACAATTAAGTCACTCTGCCAGCCTGTTTGTGCCTTTAATTTGGTTTCTACATTTTTTTCATTTCTATATTTTTTTGGTAACAGTTGACGGACGGCACGGAAATTGGGAGAAATGCTCAGAAAAACAACAGCTCAGACAAAAAAAAAAATTTTGTATGCGTGCGCTTTGTTGGTCCAACTATATGGCTCGCTGCTTGTTTGCTTATCGTTTTTGGGCTCGCTTGTAGTCCGCTCCGGTCTGATCCGGTCTCTATTTATTTCGTTACCCTTGTCTGACAATACGCTGTAGGTGTAGCTGTAGCTATAGCTGTGGGGCTGGGTCTGGGTCTGGTATGGCTCTGCTGTTGTTGTTTTGCTTGGCTTGTCGCATTGTTGTAAATGTCTATAAAAATATTATTCGATACGCGTTTTGTGGAATGTCTGCATTCTGTCACCAGCAATTAGGCGACTGGCCAAAAGGTGTGTGTGTCTCTCTGCCTCTATCTGTTTGTGTGTGTTAACAATATTTCCGTAGTTGGCCCAGAACGGTGGGAGTAAAAAGGCGTTGATGGGCAGCTATTGTTTGCGCGTTAAGCGATTTTTGTTTAACGATTCAGGAATTACATGTAAGTAGCAGATAGTCGAAGTATTTACCAATCGTATATGCATTGCTTACCCGGCTGGGGGTAGCTAATATGCACTGTTTAGTGGTAAGTGAAGAGCCGCCGGTAAATGTTTATCAGCTTGGTATTAAGAAGTTATAATTTGAGAGCTATTTTGTTCCAAGAATCCCTGTTAGAAGAATCCCATAAAGAGATTCCCAGAGAAATAAAAAATTTAGCCTTCTTTGGATTGACAATAATTGTTAACACCTTCCGTCACCTTCCATTAGTGGTTTGTTTAAAAAAGTAATTTCTCAATTTTAAGTTTTCTTTAGAAATATTATATTTGAGGCACTTTATGTTTGTCTATTCTTTTCTAAAAATACAGAATTCGTTTATTACCGATTGGTAAAAGACAAATAACATTTTTGTCGGTACTGTACCGAACTCGGCGCTCCGCTTTTTCATTACTATGTTGGTTTATTTATTATATCTATCATGATATAACGATGGTAAGAATTATATCATGGCACAGTTGATTAAAATCAAACAGAATATCTGAAGAAGATATGTATTGTTTATAGCTTTAGGTATCCACACATCGAGCAGTTGTAGTCGAAGTTAACAAAGATACGATGAACTAATACGCTGATGCATTAATTTGAATAAATTTCACGAAACGTTTACCGTAACAAAGGTATCCATTAAGAGCACAGAATCTAAACTACAAGTATGTATATCCCCTTTGATCCCGGCCTTTGTTTTATTTCCGCAATGGGATTGTAACTAATTATGTAAGAGGAAAGTACAGCTTTGGTCAGACTGGCGACTTTTTCGAATTGTAGAAGTATGTCATGAATGTAATGCTTCTTCAATGTAAACGGATAATAATTATTTAGTTGAATACCATTTTCTGGTTTGACACAATTCTGAGGGAATTACTTTTAAAATAGCACAAATTTGTGGAAAAATTGTCTGCATGTCTGACCAAAGAGAGTTTCCCAAACATTAAAAAGCCATAGTCTGCCGTTAAGTTTATAAAAAAGAACATTCCTAAACTTTTGGGCATTATTTTTGCTTCTTCATAAGACAATTTATTCTCTTACACAAAACCAAACTATGGCAAAAGGAGTGCAAGTCAGTTAACTTTGCACACTGGTGCATCTTCCTTTAAAAGTCTTCCCAAAAATGTGTTGCAAAAACCCACGCTGAGCAATCGTAATCAATTTATTGCGGTCAAAGTTATGACAATTTCGGCGCAAACGTAACCCGCTAACAAAGGTGACATGTGTGGAGTTAAAATACAAACCTTTTCATGCAATGCGCGACGATTGGTGTGAAATATTTGTCGACAACTTTAATCCAAACAAACAGAAAACGACAACAAACTGTGTCTGAGACTGAGACTGCGGTTCGAGACGGGTGGGGAATGGAGCTGAAGACACAGTCGTCCAATTTGTTGTGTGTTGGTTTTGTTAAAAGATTGAGCACAAATTGTTGCAATAAACGTGATTTTTTATTTCACCTTTTTGCCGTTTTTGTTGTATTTGTCGTTATTGTGGTGGGGTTTTTTTATTTGACAATTATGTAATGTTTTGGGGCAGTTGCAGAATCGCATTGCCCAAATGGCGACAACAGCTACAACAACAATGATTTCCGTTGTAAGTTTTGTTTGATTTACTTTGATTTGCTGACGTTGATGTTGTTGTTGCAATGCCTTAAGTGTGGCTTTTGTATTTTTCTTAGAATCGCACAATGGTCGAGGCTCGAAAAACGTCGGCTCTGGCTATGGCCTTTGTTTGCACTAACTTGTTTCTATTTATATTTTTCTTTTGTAATATTATTATTACTTTTTTGGATTTGTAACTTTTGTATTTGATTTGATTTTTGCACAATTGCAATGTAGACTTTCACTTTTCACAGACGCACACACGGACACAGCAGCTAGACAGACTTTAAATAATCGTTACAGTAATTGTTTAATAATTTGGCATTATTTTTGCTGATTTTTTCGCCCACTGACACAGTTTTGCGTTGAATGTACGCTTGGCCTGAACTATGTCCGTATTTGTTTGTTTGGTTTGGCTTAATTCGGTTGTGAAAAATGTCAAACTCATCTAATTGGCAAGACTGGCTAAGTAATAACCACTTGACTTTGCCGCATTCACTCACAACTTGCGTTTTTTCAGTTCAAGGCGTTGTCATGGAATGTCACTTGTAATGTCGCGAGTCCTTCGATAGTGTTAGCTATTCGCTTTTTCGAATCGAATCGAATCCACGCCCACGACGCAAACAAACGAAATTCTACTCTATACTCTGTGTAGATGGTTTTGG